GGTGTCCGGCAAAGGAGTGGTTTTAGTGCGCAACGCTGAGTGCTAAACGAAAGGCGGAGGAGGAAGAAAGGAGTGAAGTAAGGGAGGACAATAACCCCCAAACAGTCACCGTGTTTTTATTTCACTCTCTATATATGTCTTCTTCCAACGCGACATTGTTGGGCTGTGCGCACGTTTGTGAAGTGGCTTTTGTACCACAACCTTCGTTAAGCCATCGAACATATCATGTCGCATCCCCAAGTCACCATCCACTTCCCAGCCCATCCTCCCACATGTGTGAGGGTGTGGCGGACCGGAGACACAACTCTTCACTGTACAGCTCTTCCTCCACGCCTCCGATCTCACCCTACGCCTCACTGCTCCCACCAAAGCGTAGTCGTGACGAGGTCGTCACTGTTGGTGCGTGAGGCAACAGGGACGGGAATGGTGCGAACAATGATGATGGCAATTCATTCTCATTCATCACGACGACTGTATTCCTCTAAGAGCTTGTCAACTTGTCTCGACATCAGCATCAAACAATCTCCTGCCAGAAGGAGTTGACAGTTGAGGAATGAAGAAGAAATTGAAGCAAAGGTTGTTGGGAAAGGGGGTTTTTTCTCCTTTATTGAGAAATGGTGGTGGATTATAATGAAATTAAAGAATGAAGCACCTCATACTACCTTGTAAATGTTTGGCCATCCTTTGAATGGCCATATTTTCGGCACACCACAGCTATAAACACTTCGAACAACTTCAGGTATAGTGACATCGCGGGTGACGGTCTTTGCTACAAAATGAGCTTCAGTTGTTTGAGTTGTCGATATGCAATGTGGGAATGCATTATCATGCTGCATGATTGTGATAATTCAGCAAAACTGCACTAAAGGAGAGGCTGCTTCAATAAGCTCAGTAGTTTAAAAAAACAACATAGGGACCTTGTGGGTTTGAGGCATGATTTTAGCAGCCTATAATGAGCGAGTTCAACCATTTTGTATTGTCAAAATTGCAAGGGAGATAGGTCAAGTACCATAGGACGACCCCAAGTATCCCACCAAACGTCAAAGAACAGTAATATAATGAAAGAGCCTTACCGTTAACCAGGCAACGGTCAGGAGGCTGATCACTTAAACGTCCGGCAAAATAAATGATAAAGGAAAAGTGAAGACAAAATAAACCCCATTTTAAACTTAGGAAAATCACTCAGAAAGTGGTGGTACGGATGCGTTTTAGGATCTGCACTCCACCCTCCCCCAATGCTATATTAACTGACCTCGATTAAATTGTATTCCACTGTCGAAACGTGAGAAGAGGCGATAGCGTTGAGCCCAATACTTCTCTACTGAGGAAACTGTCGCTTCATCCTCGTATAGGTGCTCCGGTGGCGGTTTTTGATTTACATGCTTGCGAGAGGACACTGCGCTCGGCGGCTTGTAGCGAAAAATGCAACGACGTCCGGAAGACAGAGACACTGGTAAAAAGAGAGAGGAGATTAAAAAGCATGACGGATGCGATATGCATGTCGCAACACCGCCACAGTCGCATGAAGAATTTCGATGACTGATTTAAAATGCGTAAATTAAATTTTACGACCCATCCAAGGCAGAAAGCAATAAAAGCACAGAAATTTAAAGAGGTTTCACGTGACTTGGCCACCAAGGTGACGACAGCATTGGACGTATCAGCACTGATTGCAGCTACAACGGCAGATAAGGCATCGAAAAATAATCCCGACCAAGTAGTAAAATGCATAATTATCTTGAACGCACAGCTACAAATGGGTTTACTATGTGCAGACCACTTTACAAACGAGAGAAGTAAATTCGTTGATGAACCAAGAGCACAGTGACTGAAGCATGAAGAGGGCATATGGGTTGTGCTTGAGGACTATCGAAATGAATAAAACAGTGAAATAGAAGGGCCTAAGAGGGGCGTCACTAAGTAACAACGATTAAACATGATAAGATTAAATAGAAATTGGACCAAGATACCACCAAAAGAAAACTAATGACATCCATAATAGTGCAATCAGAGAAACCTGAACATCCTTTGCAACGATACTGCACACGAAAAAGTCCAGAGTTCAAAAAATTAAGGAAATTGGATTCAAGCGGAAGAAGCATAAATCTGATTTGCTCTATCGTATTCTGGAAAAAATAATCATATTGCGGTGGGTGAGAAACACATGAAGCGACATTAAAACACCCAATCTTCCCACAACGAACCAGAAAGCACTGTTCGATTCAGTTACTCCTTGCTCAAACAGTTTAACCATGTAGGTTGGAGACTCGCAGCTGACTGAACAAACAGTGGATGAGGCTTATACAGCGAAGTAAGTCACATGAGACCCGGTATGGGACAAGGGAAGAAAATGATAGTGTTAGCAAAGACAAGGCTAGTAACAGTGGTCTTTGCAAATGTACGAAGAGCGCCAATCAACACTTGTTTCGAGAGTTCCAACAAATCGTCCTGTCTAATTACTGGAGCGTAGTGAATGTGGAGAGTACAGCACTCAATTGAAACCAATTTGAAGTGTTTCCCACTTAGTTTTACCGCGCTTAGAACAGAGCGTTTCAACGTAAGGTAGAGTACGTAAAAATATGACTCAAATATAAAACAATGCTAAGTATAACCAATACTAAAATGAATCCGATAAACACTTCAGTAGGTACATATTTTTGTAAGGAAGTGTACTGAGTTTCGACTCACTAAACGGAACACATAAATACCCAAATGTCAAGTGCGGGTGTCACAAAGAACTCAGAGAGAGCAGTGAGCAAGGAGAGCTGAAAGGCTGTAATTAGGCAGCATGCAAGAATGTCGTTAACTTGGCGTCTTCAGACATTATTACCGAGATGAAAACACATGCAGCACCGATAAATTGCAGGCAACTGGTCTCTAGAAGTTGGTTGGTGGCTTCGGAATCAAAAATGCATCATTGTCTGAAAGGCAGTTCCTTGTCAATTTGGGCAAGTCAATTTCATTGTACAAGTGACTGAAAGCATGAAGGTAAGACCGAAAGTGAACCGATGCATATAATGGTCTCATTCATGACCATAAACTCAAGATTTCATCACCGTGAAACTCACCAAAGGTGTGATAGACTGTTATGAGTGGCACACAAAATGAAATTGTAAAAGGCATCATTTATGTATTTACTCAAAGTAATGATCAGGAACAACGTCAACAAAACCCTTCCTAAATTAGGCCTATCGATGCAGTCAAAATGCTTTTAATAATAAAAATATTGAAATTGAAAGGGACCTACAATGAATAGCCCTTTTCACATCCCTCAGAGAACC